ATTTGCATGAGCTATTACTGCAACACGATTCAAATTTTTTCTTGAAATAAAAACAGGAGAAAATTTTGAAGCTGGAGATCAAAAGCTCGATCATAGCCACAAGAGACAGAAACACTTCGAATTTCTTCAGCTCCAAAGATTTGAGATTTTTCGCAAAAAAAGTGAGAAAAAATCGTGGCTCTCATTAATTTATCAAATTATGGAATTTAAAGAACTAAACGCACTACGGAAATATAAATATGTGTGATACCCAAAAGCTTTGAGATCGAATTGAGCTTTGACTTTCGAGCTGAATGATCGACTTTTAAAATGCTCTCATACAAAATAGGAATTTCCCGCCATTTTGCACCTTATTGATCTTCCGAAAAGAAAGGCTGGCATGAATAATTTATGCATGCTAAGATAAGTTCTTCTAAGCATCGCTGAATTAAAAACAGTATAAGGATTCAAAAATACTGATCGTATAGATGCAAACTCTTTTTTATCTCGACTTTCGTGGGGACGAACTATTTTTCCTCAATTTCGAGTCCTTCGATGATATCCTCGTCCCGAATATATTTTTTTTTTGTACCCATGCCTGATTTTTACAATTTTCAAATAACGTGCAAACGTTGAGTCTGTATATCTCTCCAGTAGCAACGGTTTCAACCAAAAAATGTGCATATTTCTTCGATGCACATGGACAAATAAATAAAGTCGTTAGTATATATCTGAATTTTCTCGGCATATTTATACAGTATATACTTGCCTCCATGTAGTCAAAGTATTTTTCCAGTCTCATGAGCTTCTCCTCATGAATGACGTCATTGTCGTAACCGTCATCCTTATTCTCATTTGCTTCATCGTTGATGATGGTCTCATGATCCCAATCGTCGGGGAAACTTCTCGGCTCACCAGGCATATCAGCTTCAACAATGTGGTCCTCATCATTGTCAGCAGCAGCAGCTACATCAACAGCCTCTTCTTCAGGAACCCCGACTCTTCTGCGACCATCATCGAACCCGAAACCATCAGTCAAAGCATCAGTGCCATCGATTACTTCGTCACTGGCCTGAGCCAGATCTTCAGCCAGCAACACTTCTGGGTCTTCGCGAACTCGAACCACCGGCAGGAGCATGGAAACTGGCACGCCAAAAATGTAGCCTGCATGTTATTGGCAAAAATTAATAAAAAGCAGCGAAGGGACGATACCATTTACGAAGCAAAAAAGTTTCGGAAAACGAATGTATAAAAGCCCCCCAAAAAACCACCCTCTGAATAATAAAAAAGTCGCGAAAAATACCTGAGTCGTCACTCGTCACTTGGATTATTCCAGAATAAGGCAAGAACTCACAACAATAAGTATATGCTTCCAAATTTTCAATCAACCATTATGTTTTGTTTTGTTATGATAAAAATGAAACGGTCTTTCAAAAGACAACGTGGGACTTTTTTTGGAATATCGATCCATTCGGCGATTTAAAAAAATAGCAACAATATTCAAAACATACCGAAAGGTTTTCAAACATTCCGTTTAAGTTCTCAGCGCTGAAAGCTCACTTAAATGTTTTAACAGTTGCGCAAAATTCAATTTACTCTGAAGGTGGAACATTTTCACGTCTTAATTGAAGCTTCCCGGAATTTTTCATACTGTTTTACATGAACCTTGTTTTTTTTAGAAATAGAGAATATGTTTCTGAGAAAGATCAGGAAAATTTATTATGATTTATGAGGCACTAATAGTAAGAGTGATGATTTCCGCACACCATATATGAGACCAGAGAATATATTAAATGATACCGAGTGTTTTTAGGTAATGGAAAATTATTTGGCTAGAAAAGTGAACATTTTATAACTAAACCATTTTAGCAGAGTATTTCAGAAAAAATTCTCGAGATTTTAGTAGAACTGTCCTTCTTACAGAAATACTTGAGTTAAGTGCACTGGTTTTTTGCGTGTCTGCTGATTTTATGTGCGGAATTTCGAGTTCCTGTGCAACAAAATTTTTTGGGCCCAATTCTGACGAAAAGGCGCGGCAAAAAATGTACAGGTCTTCAAGTTTTCATCACTGTATCACAGTCGCAGAATATGATTTTTCTACGCGAAGAATTAAAATAAAAATCTACGAAAATATGTTCCACAAAGTGATCATACCCATAATGAACCCGGCACCAGCTGGGATGGAGATTATCCTCGGTTGTCGGTGGGAATAACCCAATTCCTCCTCCTGGATTACTCCAGAAGACAAGAACTCACGATTTGCTGCCCAATTTTCAATCAAAACCTTGGCAACCATGAGCACCAGTTGCAAGATCCATGTGAAATCCATCGCCACGTAAAAAATCCCTAATCCAGCATCTGTTATTGAAAAAAGTTGACACTTCCTAAATCAAAGATTGGCAATCGTAGCTCAAGGTCACTTCAAGTAGGGTTTACAAGAATCCTGGACTTTACGCAAGCAGCGATTTAGGTAGATTTTCGTTTAAAGGGACGGCGAAGATAAAAATTAATCTGCCACCTAGTTCACAACGAAATACAGTGCAAAAAAACGGAAGCGTATTTATAAACTTACAAATGGATACTGATACCAGACTTGTTTTGGAGAAGAAATTCTGAACATCACGACGCCAATTTAGTTTGTCTCAAGTTGTCTGTTCGGATTCAGGTTCAAAACTGAGGATCCTAAGCGTGCTGACGGAAGAACAAAACCAAGTTGACTTCACCAAATGATTATGCGACGTCAGGACCAGCAACTGCTGAGGGTCAATGACAGTATATTCCCTCAGGGCTTTGCTTCCTCCAGCAGTCATGTATAGATGAGTTCTTTTTGAACATTACCAGATTCTTGTTTCCAGCAACACCGGCTCATCTTTCAAATCATGGGACGACTGTCATCCACGCTATATTGAACGCTCGAAGAATATTTAGTAAACTGAACATGCGAGAGATAATAGATAAAAGATTTTCTTTTGTTTCAGAGGGTCACTAAGGCTATATCAAGAGGAAGATTGCTGAGTTTCTCAATTGCAGAAATACTTTTCTGAAAATACTCAACAAAAGGAAATTTAACTTTTAGATCTTACGGGGTGTTGGCATTTAATTCATGTAGCAAGATCATCTGAAGTGTTTCCCTTTGTGCAAACACCAATTTTTGTTTTGTTTACAAGAATTGAGCAAAAGACATTATATTATACACAAGCATATTGTATATATGCTGTCTTGTACAGAAAATAAAATAGCTGAACAGTTCAACAGGTGAAATCTTGAATTCATCAAAAGATTGAAATTATACTTAGATTATTTGTTTTGTCTAAAATTCCTCACATTAGTTAAATGCACATTCTTATTGATTTTATAAGATCAACTACTGCATTATTTGGACTACTATATTAGAAAAATTGAAGTAATTGGATTCAACTGGATATGAGCCCTAATTTATTTTGGAGCATATTTTATGTGTCAGTGTGTCACACAGTTTTCTTATGTTCCATGTCATGCTGTTATTTTAATTCAGTTTCCTTCATAAATATGTAAATATAGTGAGACCCCTAGCTACATGCAGACACCTCTATCTGCAGACAATTTGACTTAGGGACATTCTGTCCAATTAAAAAACGCCCAACATGTGGACACTGACTCAACCTGCAGACATTGAAATTTTAGGAAAATTTAATTTTTCAGACCAAATTCCTAGGAACAGATATTCAGAACCATAGGATGGCAAGATCTATGACTCTATGTGACAAAAATTGTTTTACAATTCCATCATCATTTTCCCATCCATTTTGCTAATTAAAAATTTACCTCAAGTATTGAGATTCTCAAGAGAGATGGGAATCCCTTCTCACTTTTTGACTAATTTAAGTTTTACAGGAAATGCTAATATCTCAATGTTTAACAGTGTACAAAGGTACAGCATTTTTACCTGAGTATTTTTCCCTGTATGTTCCTCAAAACTATTAGAAAACATTGTTCTCTACTTTTTGATAGAAAAAGTGCTAATTTTTATTGATTTATTTCAAGAAGGCTACATAAACAATATTGGAAAATGTCTTCTAAGAAGACAAAACATCTGAAATAATCAGGAATGTCCCAACTGTGGGACTAAAAAAGAAACCATAAAGATGCCAAAGCTGGAGAAGAAAGGAAGAGGACACTTGCTGAATGGATGGATCTTAACATTCAGCAGTTGCACATAAATTGTGCATTTTGCTCATGTTTTATGTCCCCAGCACTCCAAATGTTATTCATGAGTTGAAAAACACTGATTGAATATTTTTTGACCAGCCAAATTTTTGAAAGGAATTTTGACTTTCATAAAACACCAATTAAAAATTAAGTAATGTAAGTCAATGGGAAAACAAGACTCAACTTAGGGACACTCTTGAGGCACCAATTATATCTGCATCTTGTGGCCTCACTGTATATACTGTAAATTGCCAAATTCTGCAGATGGACTCTCTATAAAAAACTGAAAGGGCCAGAATAAGAAAGCGTTCCAGAGAAAATTTTGTTTCATAGTACCCCTGTAGCATGGGGAGTTAACCCTATGATGGGACCACATAAAAACATCTTTGTCAAAAAAATAGTTGTGGAGAGATTCCACCTACAGTACGACCAAACATCCTGCTCATTGCTTCCATAACGTTCATGTGGGGGAAGGAGAATTTCATTACCTTGAACTCAATGCAGTTTTTTCTATTTTCCCGGAGTGTCACAGGATTTTTATCACCAGTTTATCATATAATCCTACTCTTTGATGGCCGATGATGTGAAATGTAACTCTCGTTCATGTCCAGTTTTGGCGCAGTTGACTGTCGGCAAGTAATTTCAAATGACATAACTTTTCATGGCGGATCAAATTTTTGATCAGATAACTTTTCATGGCGGATCAAATTTTTTATCAGATAACTTTTCATGGCGGATCAAATTTATGATCAGACCTCTGTAAAACCTCCGAGAAATCAATATTGTACTTGATGCGACGCGAAAATATTCCGGCAATAAAAAGCAACGGCGGATTCTGCAAAAAAGCTGAATATACTTCGGATATTCGCGCATCGTTACCAAACCGAAAAAAGTGAATCGAAACATCGCATTAATGCAAAAAAAACGAAGCAATTTCGACTCGAGTACTAAGAGTGAGATTCTTCGTTTAGTTTCCAGAACACCATAAAATTGCATTAAAGCATGTCCTTGAATATGGTTCGAAGCTTCTTTCGTTGATGAACACACCAAAATTCCATTTTGAACCAAGCTTTCACGGTATTGAACACAAATCACAATACTGGGTTTCCCTTGAAAAATCACTATTCAATTCTTGCTTAGTTGACTTCATTCCTCGTCCAAATTTTCGCTGTTTCCCACAGAAATAGCCGTTAGTACAGTACATCATCCTTCGAGGATTTCAAGCATTCCTCTCCAAACCAGAAAAATGCCTGTAAGATTGCGATGATTTTCCTAGAACTACGCGCGCATGCTTCCAACCATGCTTATGAATAGAATGAAATAGCTTCTCATTACAATAAGTCCCAAATAACTGGAGATACTGTACTAAAATTCTCGAATAACAGGACATACTGTACTAAAATTCCCCAACGAAATTCAAGGCTGGAAGCCTATCACTCGACAAGTATTCGTCCAACTCCTCTTCTGGTTCCACTACACCAGATTCTTTTTCAACCCAGGCAAAAGAGAAAACTTCTTCTCAAGCCAATATCAACGTCGACCACATTCTTTCAGGTCGCATGAAAAAAAAAGTCTTCGAATATTCGGTGAACGAAGACATTGGTTCGGAACAAAAGTGAACTTTGCAAGTCCACACAAATCCCGTCCGTTCAGAGCAAAAACGATGCTTGTACATTCTAGTCTTGGAAACCCAGACCAAAATTGATTCATTTGCAAAGAATTTTATGGAATGCGTTGCGGAAGTCCTTGTTGAAAATGGTGTAGATGACTGGATTGAACGCGGAATTCGCGTAGCCCAACCAAAACGCAGTTGCAAACCCCCATTCTTGGATATGACAGGATTCGTGACAAATCGCTTGAATAACGTAAAGGAGGAAAAACGGCAACCAACACAAGATGAAGGCTCCAACAATCAGTCCAAGAACAAAAGTTGCACGTTTCTCCTTTTGCCTCGCAATGCGACGTTTTTCTTTTTCGGGGTCGCGCATGAATGAAGCCATCATGGAAGCCTTTGGTCGGTTCGCTGCTGCCAACTTGGATAACTCCACATGGTCCTCTTGCGGTACCTGCGATTCATAAACGTTGTTCAAGATACACAAGCATAAAAAAATGAAAGAAAGGGCGAAGAAAACTTAATTCAACTAACAGCATGAAATCGAACAGAAAAAAAAAACTGTGCAACAGATGCTCCCAAAGAAATTTAGGGTCATCTCACATTGGAAGCAACTCCTTCAATTTTTTCATAGTCGAAATACAGCAGTCAATCTTACAAAATCGAGAAGTAATTTACATTTATAAAATTTGAAAATTTAAAGAAAAAATCCAAGTAATTTTGATTTTGTAGGACTTCAACTTTGATGAATTCAAAGGTTCACTCGTCAGGACACCTCTTACAATATAAAATATGAAACTTTCTCCATGAATTCCAGTATCTGCCGGTTTTTTTTTCTTCAGAAAAAGGCATGTGCGCTGAAGAGGAAAATGAAGAATTTTTATTTTGAACACTTACACTTCAGAGAGATGAAGGTTCGGGAGCATTATCTAAAAATTTCTTAGATAACAGTCGAGGAATCTAATGAAGGAGCGTGTGTTTGCTCCCCTACATACGCATTATCCATCCTTAATTTTTCAAAAACCGAATAATCATTCATGGAGTTAATACTGTACTGTCAAACCTCTTCAAGTCAAACTTGAAGGCACTAGACAAAAAAAATTCTGCATTCTGGTTTGGTGAGTGAAAGAAGAATATAGGGGGATTTTAATTGGTGATTTTCTAGGCTACTATTTTTCGAATGAGTTGTCGGTATGTTCACCTTGGAGGCATAAGTTCAATTTTCCAATTAGTCTTTCACTTTCTTTCCAAACACAGCAAGTTACAAATTTATTACTTTCCCTCTCCCCCATGTGAATACAATAGTAGCAAAAGGCCTCCAGAGAATTCGATTCATGGAGGTTTGAGGAGGAAAGCCAAGTTAGGGAGGTTTATCAGAAATTGTTTTCTAAGGGAATTCAGACAGGGACTGCAAAAAAACCAAAAAAAAAATTCGACACACGGACGTATTCGATTTAGGGAGGTTCCAGTTAACCAGGATTAAGTGAATAACTACTGTATAATAATCCATTCCTGCACCAAGTTTAATATTTCAGTAGGCTGCCAGATGCTACGGTAAAAATAAAATAATTCCCCTCACATCGGCACGTCGTCGAGAGAAGATAGACTTGAGTGCCTTGAACTTGTGGCGCATAGGCTTTATGACGCTAGAGCAGTAGGCAGCGTAACCCAAATCCGTGCTGCTTGAAGCATCGAACTCGCTGAACTCCCCAGTGATGGAAATAGCATCCGCAATTTCTTGCAAATTGTTCGAAGGCATGGACAATTGTTCCATCACCGCCACTCCCAACTGGGCGCCCATCTGAAAACAACAATCATACCCGTTAGGCAGAAATAACTTTCAAGAATATCGAACGAAACGCACGCCCAACCAGGCACAAATTCCAATTAAAACACGGAAAATTGCATTCATCATCGTGTAAACTTTCACCGGTACGTTTCGCAAAACAGACCAACTATAATCACCTTAGCTCATTCAAAATGCACGCTGAGCTTGTAGTAGATGGTCTGATTAGTTCATTCACGAGACACGCATTTCAGAAAAAAAAACACCGTTGACACAGGACCGATGGCACACAGCCCATAAATACAGTAAATCTTTCTACAACGAACACCATTACAAAAACTTTTTCTGTGTAACGAACTATTTCTCAACTTCTGCTTGAAAATCCATGGAATACATGTTAAAACAATCTCATTATCACAGAATTCCTAATTCCAGTAGAAGAAACTTCTTTGATGAATGCTTATTAGATTCTCCAGGTAAAAATTTCTTGACTGAGGCAGGCGGAGTCTCACATTTACAATCCTTCCAGGATTAAGAGATTAGAGCAAATTATGGAAAGTATGATTGAGGCTAATTTTTTGTCCAGAAGATCACTCAGTTTTCAAACAGGAATACAAATCTGAGAATGCAAGAAAAGCAAGAGCAAATTGATTATAGACGGGTGTGATGCAAAAATGGCTTCCGGTCATCACTTTTGAAAATATCAACAATTTTAACAAACTATTCGGTACAAAAACTTCTCTGAACTCCAAAAAAGTTTCTTGCAATGCAATTTTACTGAGATCACTTTTGCTCATTCAATCAAGTGAAATCACGCTAAATTTTGTCATTACCTTCCCGGTGAGACCTGCGAGCCCACGCATTTCGAATGAGCCCGATCGTTCACGATGTCGCTTGAGGCTTAGGCAGCCTGTCGACTGGGGTGGGCTATGTTGGCTGTGTCTGCTGCCCTGCGACGTCGTAGAGCCTTTCGGTCGCAATGACGATCTGAAAAGATAGGACGAATATTCACACTGCTGATGTTTCGCTTGACGCCAAACTAGGTACAGTATCATCAACAGTGTCATTTCTCGGTGGAGGCCTCAAAATGCACTGGGTTGATTTCATTGTCCAGCTCTGCTTTCTCGCTAGCGACTTTGAACCCACTAAACCTCATCGTCGTGGCAAGAGCTTCATGATAGATGGGGAAACCTAGTACTTTACAGTGGAGCGCCAAGATGCGGACAAAATTGGTGCCCGGATTCTGTGCCTATGTTAGAATGGCCGCATGTCATACAGACATAAAATAATCATGTTTCTCATGGACTTCAATTGTAACTTATTTAATCGGTTCCCTTCTTCAGAAAATACCAGGAAAAAGTCCCAAAAAATTGAATCAAATGTTTTTGTAAACTTGAACACACAGAAAAAAACTGTGCAGAAAAAAAACCATGCCGAATCTCATCTTCTGGCATGAAAAGGAACCAAAACGCGAAGATATAGCACAATTTTTGCTGCACAGTACTGCGCAAAGATGAAGGAAAATACTCCGAAAAAATCAGCATAAAATTAGCCCGTTATAGACTAGGAATTACAGTGGATTTTTAAAAAAGTTTTAATTTTTATTTATATAAATTGGTCAATTCGTTCAAGAGATAATGTACCGAAATTCTTAAAAAAAAAATAATTATAGCATTTTTCTAGAAATGTTGGCATAGTGTCCATCTCCACAGACACCTGCCTGATTTCGAGGCATATTTTTCGAGTTTCTACTGTTCATGAGTACAATCATCCGTATTTTGGGGTCCCACTGTATTTGGGGCATCACGTCATTAGTCAAACGAATCAATGCGTCGATCATGAACTATGAGACGAAAGCTTTTCACGCACTCAACCACTCAAGCAGTAACCAACCAGCGCATTTCTTCGCTGAAGGTAAACTTTGAAACTAGATACTCAGCTGTTGCACAAAAGGGGATTTAAAAAAAAATACTGGGATAATCAACACAAAACAATAGAAATCTTTCAAAGAACCTGTTATTTCCTCCACCAGTCTGTTGACCACTCGGTGGCAATGGAGGCGCGGCATCCGAGTCATCGCTCTGTTTACAACTCAATTTGTTCTTGTTGGCTGCAGCAGCAGCCATTGCATTCTTCTTGGCCTGGATGTTCTTCCGAGCGCGTTCTCGTGCCGCGAAGAAGATCCGAATGTACACGATGACCATGATGAAAGATGGGATGTAAAACGAGCCCAGGGCAGAGTACAGCACGTAGCCGATGTCTTCGCTCAACTAGGACACCGGAAATAATCCGTTATTCAACTCGTAACGAAATCATCATATCCTGATGAAACTTCAAGAACGTTAAAATTTACTCGTATGAGGGGTACCCTTTGACTACATGAAACGTGATTAGATCATCTGAGCAATGCTTGGTACGGTAATCGGATTTGTGTTGGTTACGCGTACGCAACTGCACTTCTCCGCAAAATTTAATCGAGTTAGCTAATTAAGATACATTCAATAATACCAATTATCGAACACACTCAGGTAAGAAAGGCCTGCCGATACATAATAAACATTCAACTTCGGATGTGTGCATTACGCGGCTTCCTTACATGGAGTAAGAAAATTTGCACTGGAGAGGTCAAGTTCATTTCCGATGGACTTCCCTGAGAGAGTAGTTCATTGATCCAATTGGTTCTCCTGTTCATCCAAAATTAAGATGGTCCCCAAAAATTAAATACAATTGCTTTCTCAAGTTCCATGACACAGAAAAAAATCGCGTAGAAGAAAACCACACAAAATCCAATCTTTTTGCATGAAAAGGAAGCCAAAAAGCACAGAACAAGCACGAGTCCTGTTACACTGTGCAATTTATTACTGTATTAGTTTTGTATGAATAAATTCGAGAGATATAATTTCGAATAATTTTTTTCCACTTTTCCAGAACTGTTGGGCTGGATGCACTGATCGTTTTTATTCCCAATTCCCCCACACAACACCGCAAGTATCAGATACGGGTACAGAAAAGTAAGGAGATATGTTCTTATTCATGATTTATTTATAAAAGATTGAAAGTCTTCTAAATTGATTTTATCCAGCATAACTCAGTCATTGTCGAGAGAAGATTAGAGTGATGGACCATGATATTCTAAGAAATTTCTGTGAACATATTGAAGGTAATATAGACGCAAGGATCGAGCAATGGCAATTATTCCGCCGAATTTCCCCCATTGAAGAGTCAGCATGCATGCGCGTTCACCGTAAAATCTATCCAAGAGCGGAACTAGGCATGATAAAAGCACTTGATGGAAAATTGAAGGCCAGTTTGTCTCGTCTGCTATCATTCTCGTTGACAACGATCGATGAAAAACCATATCTAAAATACGAAGAGGGTTTTTTCTGGGCTGAGTAGAAAATAATAAGGATTTTAATTTACGGTGGCAGTTCATTAATTCAACCAAAAATCTTGAGGCATCGCTTCCTGTCTTGCAAGCAAGCCAAGGAAATTTGTTGCGAACAGAATAATCATTGAAAAAATTTGAAAATTTTAGAAAATGTACCTGCTAAAAACAACATGAAATTTTCAATTTTTTGTCTGGACTGAAACATTTTCATAACAGCTTGTGATATGGGTGGAGAACTCTCACCAAAACGGGAAAGTTTTTACTCAGCATCATGCGGTAAATGTAAAATTTCATAAAAATCTGAAAAAACCCCAAACCTTTCAATTGCAAGAGCTAAATCATAGTTTTTTATAACGCGGTACCTACACTAGAAATACCCAAGGCCAAGCGGAAGTGGGACAACCCTCTTATATTTCCCTATCTATTTCCTGTTGCATTATTTTCCTTAGGCAAGATTTGGCACACAACATTTTTCCTCTCTTTTTATTTTATTTCTGCTCAGATGTAAGCAAATGCGGAGTTTTCATATGTGAGGGGCACTAGTTTTAGAGACTTTTCCTTGAAAAACGTATCCATGAGTACCACGGATCATATCTTCTACTTAAATCTGGAAAAATAAAGGTGCGCGTGGTAATGGAGGGAATACGGTAAACGCTCAGCTCGGGTTGAAAAAAAGCAATACCGTACTTGACTGTCATGCTGAGGAAGCCGAACCAGATCTTTATAACAAATGCTACTATTTTGCCAGCTCGGCATAAACATTTTCCCTTTCGTTTCCTTCGAACACAAACCTCGCAAGACGGGAAATCGCCTTCTTGTTGCGGATGCGACCAGCCGAGAAGGGGTGGAATGGATATTCCTGCAGCCACCAACCACACAATCGCTATCATGGCCGCTGCTCGTTTCGGCGTTCTTGTTCGCATGTAATCCACGGCCTGCAATCATTAGAAATTAGTGGAACTGTCAGGAAATCTTCGAACAGGTGGGCTCTCTCTACAAAAATTCTATCCATAACGATTTCCTCTGCACAACGAATTCTTTGGTGGTCCAATGGGGTTCTCTCCCCATGCTATACGAATTCTCTAAAACGAATTTTTTTCTGATCCCTTTGATTTCGTTTTACGGAATCCAACTGTATTGATGAAGAGAATCGCAATGCTACTTCTAGAACGTATTCCCATTACTGTACCATCAAAATAAAAATACCGCTAGTGAATTGGGAATATAGCGACAAAAGCTTACGGCGAAAAGGAGCTTAAAACCGTATTTACTCACGTAACACGAACACCCCCGTTACCGTATCTCAAAATTGAAAAGGAAAAAGAGGTGTGCGCGTCATAAGCGGGTGTGAATGTTCGAAAAAGTTTTAGAACCTTAGGTGCGCATTATATTTAATTCTAATGGGAAATTTTAGGTCAATTTAAAAAGAAAAACTTGACGTTATGGAAAAACTTGAAAATCCGATGGATTAGGGATCAATGTACAGTATGTCTAAAGTCAAGTTTCAAGGTCGTTGCTTTCAAAATATTCCAGTTTCAGAGTCACTAAAAATGAGGTGCGCGTCTTACTCGGGGATACAATTTTCTAAAAAAAAAAAAAACTTTGAATAAAAAACTATGGTGCGCTTCTCACTCAAGGGCACGTGGTATTCCACGTGCCCTTTTACGGTAACAGTAAAAAATACGGTAGCGTAAAATAAGGTAAACAGTAAAAAAAAAATCACTTGATTTCGTTTGAGTACAGTACTGCACTGCCCCAGAGAAGGAGCCTCGAGTAGCAACACAGAACTACATTTTGGTGCTCTCAGCACATTCAATTTTTCATAAAACACTACGCCTTTATGATCTCTCGCAACGGAATACATACGGAAGCAACTTCTTCGAACAGGTGGGCTCTCTCTACAAAAATTCTATCCATAACGATTTCCTCTGCACAACGAATTCTTTGGTGGTCCAATGGGGTTCTCTCCCCATGCTATACGAATTCTCTAAAACGAATTTTTTTCTAATCCCTTTGATTTCGTTTTACGGAATCCAACTGTATTGATGAAGAGAATCGCAATGCTACTTCTAGAACGTATTCCCATTACTGTACCATCAAAATACCAATACCGCTAGTGAATTGGGAATATATCGACAAAAGCTTACGGCGAAAAGGAGCTTAAAACCGTATTTACTCACGTAACACGAACACCCCCGTTACCGTATTTCAAAATTGAAAAGGAAAAAGAGGTGTGCGCGTCATAAGCGGGTGTGAATGTTCGAAAAAGTTTTAGAACCTTAGGTGCGCATTATATTTAATTCTAATGGGAAATTCTAGGTCAATTTAGAAAGAAAAACTTAACGTTATGGAAAAACTTGAAAATCCGATGGATTAGGGATCAATGTACAGTATGTCCAAAGTCAAGTTTCAAGGTCGTTGCTTTTAAAATATTCCAGTTTCAGAGTCACAAAAACTGAGGTGCGCGTCTTACTCGGGGATACAATTTTCTAAAGAAAAAACTTTGAATAAAAAACTATGCCGCGCTTCTCACTCAAGGGTACGTGGTATTCCACGTGCCCTTTTACGGTAACAGTAAAAAATACGGTAGCGTAAAATAAGGTAAACAGTAAAAAAAAACACTTGATTTCGATTGAGTACAGTACTGCAAACGGGGTCTCTTCCTCGGAGCTCATCGTTGTGTCTTGATGTAAAACCACGAGAGTCGTGTAAGTTAAAAAGTATTTTGTGATGCGGAAATACTAGAGAGCGTTGCCTTATGTATGCCTTCGTTGAAGGAATGATGAAAAAGAAGGCCAATCTTCTATAAAAAATACGGTGCAGTAATGGAACAGAAATTCTTTCCCCACAGTGCAGAAAATAAGCAGACCTGGGTGATGGACCAGTAGCGGTCGAGCGAGATGAGGCATATGTTGCATATCGACGCGGTGCAGAGCAACACGTCTATAGCCGAATGAACATCGCACCACCATGACCCAAAATGGGTCATAGGGTAGTTGAGACTACGCTCTCTCTTACCGTAATACTGGTCGGGCTCGTACTTTAGGCGCTGACGGTCTCTAGGTTACTTGGTTTTGACGTTTGGGACGCCTTTTCTCTTGTATTGTTCAACAAAAACTTCGCATACATTTGAAAATATCGCGAGAACAAGGAACGTCCTCAGGAATTATTAAGAAGGATATCTTGTCACATTGAGAACAGATTAATGTCAATAAAATAACATTCCCAAAATAGTACTGTACCTCGGAAACTTTTTGGCGAAGATCATTAAATCTGGACTACCGTACTTCGCTTCAGTTCCAGATCTGCTCAGAATTACTACAGTAGAACTTGGATAACTCGAACCTCTCGGAGTCGAATACTTCCTACGTAGAATTTTTTTTTTCAAGTCCCTACCTGAATTCTTTTAAAATCAATGCATTGAAAACCTCTTTCACTCAAGATACTTTTCCCTAAAACCATCATTACTCGAAATCTTTGGAGAACTTTTTGGTTTTTATTTTATTGACACAGAAAATATAAAAGCAATGGAAACGTCACTTGATGGAATTTGTAAGGAAGTGAAATACTAATTGAGAAAATGAACCCTTTTCTCCAAATTCAGTATCCCGTCGACTAATTTAATAATCAATTTAATGCCCAGAATATCAAAATTTTCGGCAATTCTTCATTCTTACATCTTAAAAATGTTTATTTTCTCAACTTGAATCAGCTTGCTGGTATTTTACTTTGAAGTTCGACTGAACGAAGAAGTTCGACTGTAATACTATCCGCGTAACGATCAAAAATGTTGGTGCGTCATCAACCTAATTTCATCTCATCTGAAAAATGTTGCAGTATTTATGAGAACTGATCACTTACTTGAAAAAACACAAGAATTGAACAACTCAGACTTCATGTGAGAACCAAGGCAAAAAAATGAAAAGATTACAAAAATATTGACGGGAAAGCTAAGCACGACTTCCTTGTGGATTCGTTCAAGTCAAAGAGTTCAATTTTGACGCATCTCAATCAAAAATAGCAGATCAAAACGCCGACACCATAGGAGACGAATGCTTGCTTCGCCTCAACTCACACTTCCTATGCAAAAAAAGTTCAATTTCGCAAGAGCTTAGTGTCACGGTGGCTTAGTTTTCGTTATTTGAATCTACCAATCTAAAAAGATTTAGGCGTACGGTACATCAATTCCGAAGTGCAGTCAAAAATGTATCTTCAATAATACTGTGTACGAATAGTACAGTATCTGCTCATTGAGAGTTGGGATAAAGTTAATCGGTGCGGATATTGGATTAGAAAAGTCCTGGATTACACTAAATTTTCGCATCTGCCAAAAAAATTTGTTTTGCAGCCTAAGTAATTTCTCGATACTTCTCCAGAGAAGACTAACGCTTTCTGATCTTAAGCTACCATTCTGAGAAGATTGTTTGAGTAATTTGTGCGCTCTGTAGTACGTCGTGTGCCGAATGGAAGTCTCGAAAAAGGCACCGTTAACGGTACTACTGCTCGTATAAGGGTTGTTGTTGCTGCTGGTACTCGCGGCAATGCTTTTCAGATGTGATGGCGATTCTTGCAACAGAATAGCGACTTGGATACATTTGTCCATCAAATGCCATGATGTAGTTAATCGTCGTAGCCATAGACGCATTGAGATCTGCATGTTTAAGAAGTGTCAACACACATTCCTTGGATCATGAATCGTGTGCATAGTGAACTTGGACATGAGCAAATCAACCGAATGAGCGAACAAGCTCACTGACCGTCATAGAAATATGAGTCATTTTCATGACCATAGTCAGCAGAATAAAACGGCGCCTTAGTTGATGAGGAAGAAGACAACGTGGATAAGAACTGCCCGTCATTCTGATTTACTTCCACAGAGTCAAAGGAGGGTTCACCACCGACGTTCTCTTCAATCGGAGCATCAAATGGCACAACTGAGCCAGGGATCGCTGGGCCCGTCAAAGCACTGTAATACACTCGCGGAAGCGGCATGATCCCAGCTAAGGCTGCGCGAAGTTACCCGCTCTCACAAGTCACAACATCTTTCTGGCCAAAAGAAAATAACAATGTCGGTGTTAATGAACTTTCACGACTAACAATTCGGAAGTTTAAACCGCCAGACATCTTCACGCACTGCTCTAAGGCCTAACATGCAGTACTGCACGACGAACCCCACACTCCGCTCCTGAACAAGAACGGGGTGGGCGTCCTTGCGCGCGTCGTGTAAACCCAAACCTCTCGATGTTTTATAGTGTGCTGACGGACACCGGTAGAAAAGAAAAAGAGTAGTGTCTCGCGGTACCAGTTTAAAGTGGTGCCTTGCCTAATGATCGCATTGACTAATCACTAAAGGACCGATCAGCCCAAGAAGTGTAAGAACCGCACCGAAAACCTGAAAAAAGTGTCTTGCCTAACAACCACTCCGCCTAGCAAACGTTTTATCTGATGTAAATCTTTTGTGCAAAGCTACAGCAAAACTCTCAACCGGCAATGAGTATCTGTTATATGTGTGCTAGCTACTGCTAGCTCCTGTATGGATTTTGTCTGTTTTGAAAGGGTTGTTGGCTGTACAAGCAAGAAAGGAGAATCAGGGAACAACCAGGGATCAGACAAATGATGAAAACAATGATGACAGTGTTTTGGCAACCAGATGCTAGGTGGGTGCATCAGCTGCAAATTGATTATTCTGAATGTTTTTTGGGAGTTTTGGGACACACTAAAACCATACATGATGATAAAGCAGCAGTTACAAAATCTTGAGAAGTTCAAGACCCAATAATGATGAAAATGCAAAGGATCAAAAGTATCAATGTTCAAATGGCATGCATTTCAAAGAACGTTCTTCAGCAATCCAAGTATTTGTAATTTTGATTTTTTTCCAGTCTGAAGAGTTAAATAAATTTTACGTGAACATCTTCCAAGATTTACAGCATTTACTCGAGATTTCTTGCTTCTCCATTCTCTATAGCTGTTAAATACCAGCGCAGTGATGTTCGTGAAATGTCTCGTCTGGTGCAGAACATATCACATATTCAGTAAATCATTTCCTCGAATCTTTCTTCTGGTATTGGGCTGGAGGATTTTGAAGATTTCCAAATGGATTTTTTTTTGCAATTTACATCTCCAGCAGATAATTTATGATATTGGCTATCGTCCATGCTCATTCACGATTGTTTTCTCGATTGAAACGATCTCCAATGGCCAGGATTATGTTGGTAGGACGTTCACTTTCCATCTCCATTTTCTACTTTTGATTGCCGTTTTTGAACGGCGCTGGTAAGTATTCCCGCGTCGGTTTTCATCAGAAGGTATTTATGAGAAAACTACTAAATGACTACAATAACCCAAATATAAGTGAAAACGGCAATAATGAAACAATAAAGATTCGCCGCCTCTATCTTGAACCTAACTTTTCATTGTTTCTCTGTTCATTTTCCGGAGCATTCATTTCGAAAACTGCTGTTAACAATGTTCTTGACCACACAAATAATCACATAAATCACAGCATTGCTAATGAAAATTCAATGGCAGATGTTCGAAGAATTTTTGAACAATGACGTTCACTCGTCTACGAATTACAATAATTATGATTGAATTAAAATTTTGTCTCTGACAGTCAAGAAAGTGCGACACCTTTGGGAGACTTCGAGCAGCGCAACAGGATGATCCGAATGACTGTCAACAGGGGGACTTTAGCAGAAGCAGTATACACAAAGGTACAAGGATTCGAATCTTAGTAGTTTTCCAATAGCAATTGATTTCGCATGACTGGTGTAAAAATAATGCTCTTATATTCATACACGGCTTCACAATAAACAAAAACACAAAATTTCAATAGCGGTACGAAATTCCGTGGGAATAATCCTCTGACATTAAATCATCTGAAGAATTGGACTCGAGCGGGAACTGGATAACGTAGCATCAGTCGCTTATTGCTGGAAATCCATTGCATCCAGATTGTCTGAACACAGGATACGTCCAAGATGTGGACAAGTGCCGTATGTTCTGGATCTAGCCCACAATGACCTCGTTTTGCGGACTCTGTCAGATGCAGATAGCGAAAAGTTCCATTTGTTTTCTGCTCATTGTGACATAATCAGGCCACTGTCTCCTGAGCCAACTCTTGGGATTCTGGGCATGATCAACAAACTTCAGCCGGCTGTATAGGAACATTTTGTCGAATATGGTCCCGAATGATACAAATCCTGTCGTCTGTCCGGTCGTCAGGTACTCAGGTATCCTTAAATGTTTTTAAAATTGTAATCATGTCCGAGAGGAGGTCTTTTGATGGTCAGTGCGTAAAAATCTTGAAAAAATTCAAGACCATGTCTGGTCACCCAGCAAATAATTTACCCGTATTTCCACCCGTCAAAGACCCGTCATACGCGGGTAGCAGCCACCCGTTTTGGGAAACGGGTACTGGGTCGAAAAAAAACAGGTGATCACCCGCTGAACCACCCGTTTCGGCATCAGTAAAACGGCTGAGAGAAAATCACCCGTTTTCGAAAATACCACCCGTCTCCAGTCACCCATGAAAAACGGGTCTTTGACCGGTGATTTTTGCCAGGGGCTTGACGCCTGGCTGGAAAACGGGTGATTATTTGCTGGGCACGGCTGCATGGAGGAGGTTTTTCCCAGCAATAATAAACGATACTTTTCTGGATGTTGCCCAGGGGTTTACCTATTGTAAACTTTTAAAAATTTGCCAAAGTTTATTGTTCTTAGAAATTTGCAATGTTCAACAACCCCCCCCCCGTCGGAAATCCCATTTGCCTGAAGAATAGAGAAAAATGCTTCCCCGGAATTTTTTGCTGCGCCAGACGTTTTTTTTTTTGGAAAAAAGCGGAAAATATCCGTATTTTGGAAACATATCCATTATTGGCTGCGAACAACTGCCACCAGTGCAGAATGAATGAACAGAACGGGTTAGAACCCATGATGGTGCACTTGCATGGAAAGTTCTTGTGGTAAATTCCATTGTCAATAATAAAGATTGAATCAAGAAGGTTAATCGAAAAGGACTGAAAATCATGCAAAATCTCGTCTCGACCATCTTCCTCATATACCCTAAAAAGGTTGTTACCGATATTTTCAGATCAAATTAATCCATATGATAACAGGAAACCAAATCCAAACATGTTCTTGGTTCAGAGAACACAATCCTTCCTGTATTAAAAATATATCCAGGCCTATTATCAAAAACAGGAAATGCAGCATCACAGACACCATAGGAAGGTAAAATCCAGTAAAAGATTTCAATTCCAGTTATGATCACATACAAATTAAAAAAGGGGGCTTTGAGCATAACCCTACAATCTGAGAGGTTATGCTCAAAGCAGCCCCCATTTTCCAAAGATTTTTTGTGATCATAACTGTCTTAGAATAATTTTTTAAGCCTGCAATTCAGATTTCCAGAAAATATTGAATGAAAATTGTCTTTGAAATTTGAGTTTCATCTGGATTTCCCCCCAAAATTTGCAAAAGTGATGTTTCAAGTCAATTTCTCAGGAAGTGTGCATTGCAGGGTCAAAATGGCTTCCAAATGAGCCTAAACCCTTAGATTTTTTCCAATATTTATTGTTTCTAAGAGGGATATCCTCAAAGCAGACAACTTTTCAGAAAAATTATTCTTTGAGCATAACCCCCCTAGATGCAATGTTGAAAAATGTGTGCATTGATGATTTTGCACTTGGATTTGTTTTTCAAACCTCAAGAATAAAATTTGAGTTGCAGGGGTTTTGCTCAAGGCAAAATCCATTTTTAAAGAATTTTTGCTGTTAGCATAACCCTCTTGAAAACATTTTTGAAACCTGCAATCTACCCTCCTTAAAATTTAAATTAAAGCCTCAATTATCCTTTTAATCATGCCACTGCATAAAACATACATCATTTACTTGAAGGTATCAAGAAATTCAGACAAATCTTAATTTTTTTCACATGACCACCAAAAGTTGCACACTGTTTCAGAATTTTTTAGAGGCATCCTGAAATTTTTGCATCCTTTTTTCATCTCAGGCTCAACCGCAAGAGATGAGCACCTCTTGTGGAAAACTGGAAAGTTTTATTTTTCTGTTACAAACGCTCCCTTATATCTATTAACAGGATCTTTTTCCTTGTGGTACTTCCGATTCTTGTTACTTCAAAGATTTTGCACAGTGTTGCAGATATTTCTTCTTTGTTCATCAGAATACTGTTGAACGGCGGTGAGTTACTCTATTGTTGAGAAAAAATTCTACAATCACTTTAAAAATCAATTATCCAGAGAATTTTGGAAAAATATGCATGAATGCAAGTTGGAAAACATCACCCAAAGATTCCTGAATCAAGATGTTGAAATACAGTCCAACCTCGTTAAACCGCCAACGTTTGTTCCAGCAAATTTTGGCGGTTTAACGAGGGTGGCGGTTTAACGGGGGAAATGAAAAAAAGGGTGGTGTGCATGGAAAATGAAAGCAGCACAGCAGAGAAGTAAAGCAAACGAATTTATTCGAGTTTTAAAGAATTTTTTTCGAAATTTTCAGGGATTGCAACAAGCACAATTTCACATAAAGGAGTATTCATAAATGTCTTTGTGAATCCTCCATGCATCCCTTGTAGTTCATTGATTCAGATCAGCAGCTCATTCACCTGGAACATACTGAAAATATTGAATGAAAATTGTCTTTGAAATTTGAGTTTCATCTGGATTTCCCCCCAAAATTTGCAAAAGTGATGTTTCAAGTCAATTTCTCAGGAAGTGTGCATTGCAGGGTCAAAATGGCTTCCAAATGAGCCTAAACCCTTAGATTTTTTCCAATATTTATTGTTTCTAAGAGGGATATCCTCAAAGCAGACAACTTTTCAGAAAAATTATTCTTTGAGCATAACCCCCCTCAATGCAATGTTGAAAAATGTGTGCATTGATGATTTTTCACTTGGATTTGTTTTTCAAACCTCAAGAATAAAATTTGAGTTGCAGGGGTTGTGCTCAAGGCAAAATCCATTTTTAAAGAATTTTTGCTGTTAGCATAACCCACTTGAAAACATTTTTGAAACCTGCAATCTACCCTCCTTAAAATTTAAATTTAAGCCTCAATTATCCTTTTAATCATGCCACTGCATAAAACTACTGTTTAAGACACAAAACTATTTTTTCCCTTAAAAAAAACAATTTAAATTTTTCAAATTTTCTGGAATGGATTGAATGATTTCCCATACAAGTCTATGGGAAATCTTGCTTCGCATAAAGAACGTTTTGCACTACAAAAGTAGCCCTGGAACGGATTATGTTTGTAGTGCAAGGTACCACTGATATTCTACAAAAACATTTTGGAGGTGATCAAGATATTTCCAAGTTCCTGATTGTTATTTCTCTTTGCTTTTTTGTGGAGCCTCTCACTACATTCCAATGTGAACACTGCAATATTTTTTTTGCAATAATGGCACTGTAAAAATTTAAGACAATTTCTGAATCTTAATGAAACTTTTTGGCAGGATTGGAATAAAATATTGTATTGAACTTTTTCCTTACTCAAGCATTCATCCAGAAAGGCAATTTTTTGTCAAATACTCATGGGGTGGGCACCATTTTTTTTAGAATATCCCAAGTAATCCACACAGCATGGGTTACAATCTGGTGAATTTTTCAATAAATGGAATAAGTGGATGTAATTTTGACATGCAATCCAAGTTAAAGTTGAAATTATAATGAGAGATTTCTGTTTTAACACAGACACATACTTCATCATGATGAATTTCTTAGGATATGTACATCATTTGTGCCATGAGTTGAACAACTGATATTTATGTGCCCATTCCTATCCTAACCAAACAATTCAAATTATTCTCAAATGCACTGAGTTTTATGTTGCAGCATATACTTGGAAATTTGTAATTAAGAAACATTTTCACATTGTTTTTGGATGTATGCCACTGTTAATAGATGTTCGGTGAAGGCAAGGTGGGACATCTTCACTTTTGAGTAATTCAAGTAATATGTGTTGTAACAATGGTAAGTGATGGGGGGTTTCATACACTATCTGTAATATTTGAACACAAAATCAGCCTGTTGGCTAATAATTCAGGTTTATAATTTGTTATATTCTTTTGAAATATGAATTTTGTACAAGCATAATCCCAAGCTTTGAAAGAGTCACTTTGAGTGTTTTGGTAAATGCCACATATACAAATCAACTTTTTTTCTCATACCTGTCTGATGCTCCTTCAAACAGCGGAGCATATCTTCTATAGGACACTGCTAACTTGAAAGAAAGGCATATAATTTGGAATGTAGCTAAAGAATTTCCAAAAAACTATGTGTTGTACATTTTTTGAACACCAAACCTTCTCTACAAAAATCTCAAGTCTTTCAAGAAATTGAAAGGCTGCACCTTTTCATTTTTTCGTATTCCTTCCACCATTATTTATGACTATGCCCAGAATCAAGCCCAACATTTTGTTATAATTAGACAACAGCCTAAATGAGTTCATTAAAATGATATATCCATAACATGGTGCCTATGGAGAAACTGCCAGGGCCAAGAAAAATGCATTATATGAAAAGTGTATTGTAATGATATTCATTGAGGCAGAATTTTACCATATCTATGTGTGATTCAATTCTAGCCTCAGATATCCATTGTTTGCAAGAATTACATTTTTAATTGTGTGAGGAAATTCATTTTTGCAAAAGAATATTAGGCCCATTTTTTGTGCAGCATCAGACCAAAATTTGGTTTAATCCAGCTCTGCTTGTAGTTGTTTTCAAGTGTTTCAGGTCAGTATATTACTATATAGTAACAGAATTTGGGTACTAATATTTTTTATCCACACAAGAAATCCCTGAAAAATCTGAAAACTGCAGTCTCTGAAATGTTCTTGTAGAATAGTGAACATGTTTTGGACGTTATTTAAGATGTACATCTACTTGAAGGTATCAAAAAATTCAGAGAAATCTTAATTTTTTTCACGTGACCACCAAAAGTTACACACTGTTTCGGAATTTTTTAGAGGCATCCTGAAATTTTTGCATCCATTTTTCATCTTAGGCTCAACCGCAAGAGATGAGCACCTCTTGTGGAAAACAGGAAAGCTTTATTTTTCTGTTACAAACGCTCCCTTATATCTATTAACAGGATCTTTTTCCTTGTGGTACTTCTGATTCTTGTTACTTCAAAGATTTTGAACAGTGTTGCAGATATTTCTTCTTTGTTCATCAGAATACTGTTGAACGGCGGTGAGTTACTCTATTGTCGAGAAAAAATTCTACAATCACTTTAAAAATCAATTATCCAGAGAATTTTGGAAAAATATGCATGTATGGAAGTTGGAAAACATCACCCAAAGATTCCTGAATCAAGATGTTGAAATATAACCCTTTCATGAAAAAACAATTCAATCAATGAACTGTTAAAAGATAAATCAATATCAAAAATGTTTCCCAAACTTTGAAGGTCTGTAAAGAGTTCCCTAATTAAGATAGAAGGGTGTTAAAACAAAGCAAATGTTTCTTACAACAATGCTTTTCCTGCTCTTTTTGTACAACAAATGGTGTGCAACAATGTTCAAGTGAGCATCATTCCACCTCATTCATAATGAACTACAGTATTTTTTTTTAACAATGTTCACTTGAACATCAATCCACATCATTCATTATAAGAAAAGAGCAAGAAATGCCTTGTTCTAATAAAATTTTTTTAATGCCATTCTATCTTAATCAGAGACATTTTTACAGATCTTCAAAGTTTGAAGATCATTTTAGATATTGCTCTGTTTGTTTAGCAAAATTTACACTTGTACTCAACAATGAATCAGCAATGTTCAAGTGGACATTGCAGGTACATTGCCTCAAATAAGACTTACATCTCAAGGAAATTACTGTTTAAATTAGCAAAACTTATATTATCTCCAGTTATACAGTATTTCAATGTTTATGTGTACATTGCTAAATGTGTTGGCACTGTCTGTTGTTCAACTGTGCTCTGAATGAGGGTGCATTTCATGGGCCACAACACATTGTGTGTACCATTGCAAATGCACTCTGCAATGCATTTCATCTTGGCCTTCATCTCCAGCAATTCTGTTGAAGATGGACTGCCAATGTGTCCTGCAACACCTTTCTCAAAATGCCAGAATGTATGATCATTTGCTCAAAATCCCAACCATTGCAGAAGGAGTTGCAGAAAGCATTGGCAAGGCATTCCTCAACATCTTGCAGCCCAAGGCCCACATCACTTGCTGGGTATGCTTTCAATGCCCTCAACATATATAAGTCCTTCATTTGGAATGGTGTGTCAAAACAGCTTCATATTTCCTTGAAGTGCATTATTGTGGCTTAAAACAGAATGAGTTAGCCATGTAAAGGTTACTATACAGTACTTCATTATTGCAATAGCCAAAGTTTCATCTGGGAACTGCCATTTCCTTATTGGGAAAATCCACGTCATGTCTACCTAAAGACTTTCTCACAATGAACAACATTTCCATGTTATCTCTATTCCCAGAGAATTACCTCAAGCCTTCACCCATTTCTATGGCAGCATCAAGTTCTTTTCAAGAGTTCAATTTGGTTTACACATTTTGGTCGAGTTTACATTGTCATTATATACTTGAAAGCATCCATGAGCTAAATTACGTATTCCAGTGATGGTTGAATATTTATTTCAGATTTTGCTTGTAAAAAAAAATCCAGCTGAGACATAGTATTGCGAAACAATGAACCTATGAAGTTGGTATACTGGTAATTGCATTTCAAATCCATTGAATTTGTCTATGTTCCTGAAACGATGACTTCAAGGAGGTTATTAATGGGAAGAGGAAACAAAATTTTTATTATTCCTATTCGGTAAATTCACATGAAGGACAGAAGAGTCCCAAGGAAAATACTTCAAATTAATACAGGTTGCTTCTCCAGCAGATTTGGAAGTGGAGGGTTGTGGACCATGAAAAATCTTATTTGGAGAAGACGTTCTGTGCAGCAAAGCTGCTTTAACATTTTGGCTGTTTTTTCAATTGCTGCTTGCTGGGTAGTTTTCCTATACAAGTATTTGGATACCCCAGAAAAAAAAGTCAATGGAGTCATCAGCCCAGCAAAAATGCAAAACCAAGTAAGTTTTTAGAATGGTGATGCAAAACAAAATAAATATGTACCATATTCACTCCAGTTCCATGCACCCCCTACTTGTCAAGTAAGAGCAAAAGACGGTGCGGGTGAAATTTGTTGCTGTTGAACTTGCTTCAACTTGCTGCACCCTAGCTTGCTGCTGCTGCAACTGACTGCAGCCTGAAGTGACCACAGTCACAAGTTGCCACAATCATTTCTCACCACAGTCACAACTTGCAGCAGTTATAAGTTGCCACTCTTTCAACATGCTGTACTTGAAGATTAATTCAGACAGTTCTAGAAATTTTTAATACTTAATTCACAGCAGAACATGATTGCAGTTGAAAAAAATGTACAATACAACAACATGGAAAAAACCTTACCATCAAAAATAAAATGCACATCATTTAGCCACCAATAGTACTACTTCAGGATGAAGGAATTCATTGAAACCCCCTCTATATATTCTAAAAAATTTCACACAGCAGAATGCCTATAGTTAAGAAGTGGAAGAATGTGGGAATACCTTTTTTCCCTGAAATTTTAGTTAATGCAATGGCAAGTGGCTGCAATTCATTTGGAAAATTGTGATAACAGCCAGTCATTACAGTGGTGAGTTGTTGCAGCAGCAACTTCCACCCTCTGTGAATTATCACAGGGGCAAGTTAACACTGCAGCAGGCTGTGACAGCAGCAAGGGAACACTGTAGCAAGTTGTGACAGCAGCAAGTTCAACTGCCTGTGGCAGGTTGGGTGTGTGGCAAGTTAGAAAGTGGCAAGTTTCACCAACACGCAATAAGACACACACCAAGGTGTTTGTAAAACAAAAAATGTTAGCCTTCAGTAAGATGCTCACCTTCTTTTTGGCCACTCTCAAACCACAAAAATTACAAATGAGTACCCCCAGTTTAATGTAGACATGAGTTGAACCCAAATTCAAGTAGTTTCCAATTTTGAAGATAGATAAGAAGAGAGTCTTTTTGGTGAACTTGATCAAACATTTTTCATTGGAATAATATTTGAATGCCCACCTGCATTTCTACATATGAAATAAATGTATACCTGCTCTTGCCATGCATTCCCTTTTTTACCCTTAAAATTTTAAAGAACATTTGCATGGTACTTGAGTAAATGCAGTAATATTGATAGTTATTCATGAATATTTCAGGAGATCCCATGTTGAGCTATAGGCTACCATTTTGTTGTGGTGCCATGCTTATTCTTTTGACTAATTCAAGCAACCAGACTTCTGACATTTTTGGAATCTCTTGATTTATTCAGAGATGGGAAGAACATGAAATACTGCCAATGATAAATGAACCAGAAAATCAGAGAGAGATTCAGGAACAGCAACTAAAAGAAAAACTGGAACAAGACCGGTTCTTTCCATGTACAGGAAACATTATATCTGTCAAGAATGTGAGTGGAGTATTTGGAGGTCTTGATCTAGAAACTATGGGAACAAAGGACAGAATTCATGATGAAGAAGGCACACTGAAGCCAGGTGAGAAAATGTGCTGTCTTTTGAATGATCCTTAATACACCAAAATATTTCCTGCAATACATAACCAACCTTTGTTTAAAACAAAGTCTATTTGACAAGATATTGTTGATATGTAAAAGAAACAAAAATTTCCCTCATCGTAGTGGGCATTGGAAATGTATCAAAGCTAGCACTGCAGCAACCACCAAGTTTCTGCCTTGCTTAGAGGAATTATCATTTTCAATGGATATTTATGCAGCAATTGCCTTCTAAACTTCAGTATGACATTGAATTGATCCTATGGATAATGTTATTTGCCTGGGTATTGTGTTGGCTGAACATCAACGTGCAATTCAGTGTCCATGAGACAGTTTTTCAAAAAGTAATTTGCATTATAAGGCGCAAAAAAGTTTGTATTCAAGTGAACAGGACAGCAGGTGAGTTAATTGAGCGGAACCAGAAATCACAAACTGATGTTTTCTGATTTTTTAAATTTACAGTTTCTAGTGCATTCATCAATGATACAAACTTTACACTTTTAGCAGCATTTGATGTTAATTGAAATATGCTACTTTTTTGGATAAAGTTACACATAATGTTAAAGTTCTCTGATCAAAAACAAATTTCTGAGAAAATAACTTGAGTTTTAGCTAATGAAGTTTTAAAAACTTATTTGATGAGGGATGTGCCATGCATTTAGTAGTTGTCTATAGCATTGCTTATCAAGTAATGAAAATCTTTGAATTTGGCAGAATTGAAGATATACCAAACATTTGCAAAATTGATGAAAAAGTCCCTTAAAATTGCAATTTGACTTATAAATGCAAGGATCATAATTTTGCATTCCAAACTACAGTCAAACCACAATCAAGTGACCCCATATGTCCAGGGACATTTTGTGGCACTACCTAGCAAATAATGGGGGCATTGGGCTGTGAACTGTTGAGGAAATGGACTGCCAACGGGTTCTGGAACCCATTCTCAGATGGTTGGGATCAGAGCCCAACAACCTGCTGTGGCATTCTCAGGGAAGCATTCCAGGACTTGTTGGCAGTCCATTCAGAACACAGCTGGAGAAGAAGCCATGCTGAGAATTGTTTTTGAAAGGACTCCCAACGTTTCCTGAGCAATAAAAATGCACCCCTCATTGAGAGCACCATTCCAGAATGCAGGGCTGGTGCATTTACACGGCTGGACACGGCTGGAGAAGAAGCCACGCTGAGAATTGTTTTTGAACAGACTCCCAATGTTTCCTGAGCAATAAAAATGTGCCCCTCATTGAGAGCACCATTTCAGAATGCAGGGCTAGTGCATTTTGGAATGGTACTCCCAATGTTTTGTGGGCAATAAAATGCACCCCCATTCAGAGCATCATTGAACAATGCAGTACCAACGCATTAGCAATGTACACATATATAATCATTAAAATATAATTGGAGACAATATCAATTTTGCCAATTTAAACTGAAATGTCCTTGAAATTCAAGTCTTAGTTATTGAGACAATGTACCTGCAATGTTCACTTGAACATTGCTGATTCATTGTTGTTTGCGCCTGCTGCCGCGGGCTTTGTTGCCCAGGACTTGGTGCTGTCTTGCATCTGGTCCATGGCAAGGATTACGGGAAAAGACCCTGCTCTGTATGGTTTGTGCCCCGGACGTGCACCCAAGTGGCGTGCGGACGGTACTGCCACAGATGGCATCCCTCCCCTGGGCAAGCACAAGCATTGTGTGGCAAATGGCTTGTGTCCCTGCATGCCGCAGGCTCTTCCTGCACTGGATGGTGTGGGTGCTCTAGGCAACCCTTTTGCACAGTAAGTGAAACCGCAAGACTGTCCTTTGGTGTAGAATGTATGTATGGTTTACGTTTCCACATTTGACCCCACGGGCTTCCTCACGGGCGCATACGGAACAACATATAGCCACATGGGACTGCAGGTGAACCGCTCTCAGCTGCCTCTGCAACAAGCTGGACTGTTGGAGGTTGGATTCATCATAATGCATGCGGGAAACCGCATGGTAATTGTGGAAACAACATGCTTTGGAGCATGGGCAGTGGGCGCGCTAGGGCCCGTGTTTATTCTGTATCAGTTGCAGCACTCAAGGTTCAATTGTTGCCACAACGCAGACACGGATGGTTAACAGGTTTGTGCTTATTAGGAAAAGGTTGGTGGTAATTTGTTGTTGCGGGGCTCCACTGCTTTGGGAGCCACCGCAGTCGTTGTCATGGTTGTTTTTTGGTCCTATTGGTCACTTCCCCTTGTGATATGCCGCATATAGCGTCCCCCTGACTGCGACCCCTTGCTGAACAGACTGTGTTTTGCAAACTGCTTTTGTTGTGATGAGACGCAAATGCATCCTGTTACCTTTTGCACTCTTGGTGGTATTGTTTTTGTTGTTCAAATTGTTGGCATTTGCTTATTTTGTTTGATTTGTGCAAACACGCAGATAGTGCCCGAGTAGAGGGGTGGGCAGATCAGGTTGATCTTGGTGCGGCAGCAGTATTTTTGTGGAACTAAGTTGTGATGAATTTGAGTGCGGGTCTGATTGTTGTCTTGAGTGTTATAAACTGTTATCCCTCACTGCTGTTTCCACCTTCTTGTCTAGTTCACATAGAGTTGTTGCAGCGCATAGAGGAGATCATCATCATCCTGCTGCATGCAGTTGATACCAAGGTCCATAGGTTTGGCGGGTGGCGGCACAGGAAGTATTGACAGCAGCATTGTGCCGCAAACTAGAGTGTTTGCTGGTTTGGGCAGATCTGGCTGCCGCTCCACTTCAAGCGTTATGAGGTTGGCAATGGATTGGCTGTGCAGAATGTGGGGGGTAGATGTCCTGTCGGCCTTGTACCGCCTGGAGACCAGCACATCCACAGCGCGGATTTTGCCATCCCGCAGGCTTGCGTGAACCTCAACAATTTGACAGAGCTTCCATTTCAGGCGTGACATTGGTGTGTCACCCTTAAATGTTGCGACTTTCAGTAATGCGACCTGACCCGCTTGGGGTTCCAGGTGCGTGGGCCCGCGGCCCATGTGTGTAGGCCCATGGCCCATGTGTGTAGGAAACGCGCAGAGTTGGGTAATGTACCCAACATAAAGTGCGTGCCATAGATCTTTCAAGTAATCCATGCGCAGCTTGGTGCGCCATTGTAGGCCTTTCTCACCGGCGTACTCAAAAAATTGTATGGGTAGGGGACCGTAGCAGTACGGATTCCACTCCGCATCAGTTAGATCCTCTCCCCCCGGGTTCAAGAACATGGAAGGAGTGATACATATCGGATTGTTCCAATCTGTGGGCAGATACGTTAGAGGGCGGGAATTTAACATCCGCTCAACGTATTTCATTGCTTTGTAGATTGTTGAGGGGTATTTAAAGCAAACGCCTTCGTAGGAGCACGCCAGGACTCCTTTTATCATTCCCATCATGTGTTATTGTAGAACCCGCCCCACCACTGTGCATGTGCCGCATTAAAGTGCCACTGGATGTGGTTGCGGGCAAAGTGCTGTTCAAATTCCATCTCTTTTGCAAGCAAGAACTGTGGCCATGCTGCTTGGAAGGCTGACCTGTTGTCTGAGATGATGGTGGTTGGGCTAAGGTCCCGCGCATGGCAAAAGGTGTTGAATGCCGTAATGAATGATTCCAGGGAAACATCCCTATGACAGGCTCCAGATGCACTGCACATATCAATGGACAGGAGAAAACGCAGATGGACATTGTTTTCCCATCAAGGGTCTGAAATGGCCCCGCAAAGTCCACTCCCACGGTCTCAAATGGCTTCATGCCAGAGTATTGGTAATGTGGGAGAGGCACCAAAGGTTGTACAAATGGCAGATTGTCAAACCGCTGGCACCATGGGCATTCCCGGATGATGTTGCGCACTGTCTTGCACCCCCCTTTCATCCAGTAGCAATGCATTAATTTTTCCAAGATTGCGGTCGTGGAGGCGTGACGCCACTTTTCATGATTTGACCTGATGAACGCTTGCAGGAGGGGAGAAATTTTTCCTGTCCGGGGTACCGGTATGTGGACCAGTTGTTTGCGTGCTTCAAAACTACTCAGTTGTCTATGTTGTGCAGCTCTGTAATATATACAGAGAAATGGCACATTATATATACACTACACAGCATTTAAAAATGCTTTTGTTTAAAAAAATTGAAACTAGAAAATTTGAAATCCCATATATAAACAATCTATCCAAAAAAAAAGTTCAAGGAAATTTCAATTAACATTGACATATAGAGAACCAAATAGAGAACAGAGTATTTTTCACATATATTTTTTTATAGAGCTGTGCTGTTCTCATACAGAGCTGCGCCATATAGAGAACATGCAGAGC